AGGCCATAAACTTCATGGGAGAATATTTCTCACTTTTGTCTGTCACAGAGCCACCAGTGGATTCAAACTATCAGAGATGTGCCACCTTCATTTTAGCAGCTCAGCTCCTTATGATCTATCACCTGAGCCTCTCAGACTAACTAGGAGCCAGAATTAACAGAGGTAGTGGGTTCAATAAAAATAAGCAAAAAAAAAAAAAATAAATAAACAAAAAAAACACCCCAAAACACTTTGGTGGATCAGAAGTTAAGTACTGGAGTTCTATCCAAAAGATTGGCAGTTCAAATTTGCTCAGTGACTCTGGGCAAAAGACCTGGCCATCTTCTTCCATAGTGACTCATTCAACTGAACAGAAAAATAAAACCAGCTCATTCTGACTATTGTGCAATCTTCCATTGGTTCTCTCAGACCATAAACCTATAAGTCTTTATGAGAAGAGACTTCACATCTTTCTGACGTGAGCCTGGAAAATACTATGAGATAGTTTTACTCTGATATATGAGTGCCAAAACAGCAACATATTGTCAATAAAGATCTAAAATTTTCTTCTGTCATTATAGATATACAACAGCTTTCTTCTTTTCCTTTTCTTATATTCCACAGTTGTCACAGTATTGAGTACTAAATATTAACAAAACAAAGGATTCCCCAACCCACTTACCTGAAGATTTTTAGGTACTATTGTCCAGAGATGTATGCTGTGCTCATATCTACCTAGTAAGAAAAATGAGACCCTTTAACACTCATTATTTTAGATTTAGGGAAGGGGTCAAGTGAAAGTAATGGGTAATTTTTTGACATTTAATTTATCTTGCACAAGGTGATTCAAAACTAGCAGCTGGACATTCTTTCTAGATGATGTGGTTATTGTGTACTGTCAAGTTGGAACTGACCCAAAGCTGGCTCTCCAACAGGATTTCAGAGCCTGTAAATCACAAGAGAGGGATTTTCTTATCTTTCTCCCATGGAGTCACTGGTGAATATGTAGTATCCACTTCTTCACAGTCAATTATAAATTATAGTGACCAGGTAGGACAAAGTAGAACTACCCTCTAGGGTGTTTAAAGATATGAATTGGTACAAAATCTGATTGCTTAACTCCACAAAGCAAATGGTAAATTTAAACAGTCACTATCAATGGTTATTTGTCAGATGCTTAATCCACTATACCACATGTTCCTATCTAGGTAGGAAGACACAGGACATGGGGCACAGGGCCATAAGCATCTCAGTGAAAGGGCCAGGGGGAGTAAGAACAGCAGAGTCAGTCCCTCACTGCCCCAGAGCAGAAAGTCAATAAAGAGCCCATAGCCCAGCCCCGTGGTGCCTCTAGAGCCCCAACAGCATATTTATTCATTGCTGACTCACAGACTCACAGTTATGGTGTTTGGTAAACCAACCCCCAGTTGATAAACCAACAGTCACGATAAACCAACAGTTGAGGTTATTACTGAAGTGAGTGGGCGAGGCAAATAATATGTCACAATACAAGGCCAAGCTTTAGCCCATAAGTTCCAAGGCAAAATTCCTTAATAAGTCCAAGCTCCACTTGCAGTTCATCAGTCAAATCCAAATCATCCAGCAAGGTTTGCATCAGAGTTGTTGTTGTTGTTGTTGTTGTTGTTGTTAAGTGTCGTCAAGTTGCAGGTGACTCATAGCGACCATATGAAGGAGAGTCCTCAACGCTTGGGTGTCACTCATCTTTTCTCCAGGTTCATGAGGTTTCAGGAGGCAAGATATGACAGTAGTGGATACCACTCCTTCTTCCAAGCTTGTTTTAATTGGGGTACTCCATCCCACTCTCTGTCCACATTGAGTAACCAGCCATTAGAGCATTTGACACATCAGTCTCACAGCAACCACAAGTTACTGCTGTACAGCAACTTGTACACCAGGAATATACGACCTAGAGGAATGTCTGAGCAAAAAACAATGTAAGACTGGCTCGAGGGCTGCAGGCCCGAGGGCCCTTCAGGGTTTAAGCAAGCTGGCACATCCTAATGCTGGCAAAGTCCTTCCGCCAGACCCTCAGTTCATCTGGCATGTCAGAGTTGTTATAATTAAATAATCCAAGAAGGTTTGCTCAGAGCAGTTGTAACTCAACTTCTTATTCAAATATCTGAAAAGAGCAGGCAAACCTTTAACTGTGGTCATCACAAATGCAAGAAGCCTCAAGTCATGTTTTGCCATCATTTGTCCACAGCAATTCCAGTTTCTCCACCACCAGGGTCTCACACTCACCAGGGTCTTGTTGTCACAAGCCTTGCTTGCCTCAAGTCTTTCTTGCTTCAAGTCTTGCTGCTTAGTGTGGGAAGTACATCTTCACTTACTCTAGTCCCATAGCCTTTGGCGATTTGCAAGATAATGGTGATTTGTAAGACCATGCTGTTTGCAGTTAAGGTAGCTGGATACCAGAGGTGGCTAGCTATGATGGTTTTTAAAAAAAGCAAAATTGTAGGCTAACATCACAGCCCACTCTCTGGCTTTTCTTAGCAATTATTTCTCATCTGAAGAACCCTAATACCATCATCTGTATTTAGGGAAAAGCCAGCATCTTACTCCTTATAAGATAACTCCCTACTCCTTAAATCTTTTTAGAAAAAATTTTTGTAATAATTTGTATTCCCATTTCAAATTTTTCATTTGCTTTGTATTATCAAACTAGTACTGAGGAAACAGGCATGTCTTTTCCTGTGAAGCATCTTCTGTTACAATTGAATCTGCATCTATAAATGAAGGCATAGCCCAGAGCAAAACATCAGGTCATAGCAATCAACACTACATCTTAGAATGAAATATCTTCTCTTCATCTGGCTAAGTTCTAATCAACACATCTTCAGCCATCTGTGGCTAGATTCAGGTGTGCATTAGTCATCAACTCAGGAGTACACACTTCTTCCTGTTTTAGACAGGCTCATACCTTCACTCAACTTAAGGCCCATATGGGCCAAGTTGGCACATCAGGGATTCCCAGGGATCTCTGCTCCACATACCAGTAACCATTCTTCATTTATCCACTCATCGCGCTAGGTGCTGAACGAACCAGTCCAATGCTTTATTCTGAAATAAAAGGTTTCAAACTATTTACTACCATAAAGTTGATGATGCAATGTTTCAGATTCTTTTCAACTTGAATGCAATTATGAAGACACAAAGTTTAAGTTCATCAACTGCTCTGCCACAGAAGAATGGGGAATCTTATCCTATGTGACTGTCTCTGAAAATCTCCTCAAGAGTCAGTAATGAGTCTATTCTGACTCTTCAGTAAACACCATCATCTAAATTTAATATTGACGACTTAGCCTGGATGAATGCAATTAACCACTGAAATGCTCATGTAAAAAATGTAGAAATGACAGTAAAAAGTCTAAAGGTAGCACTTTTTATTGTGTTTGTATGCTAACACATAGTCAAATAACTCAGATGTTATGCATGTGCTTATTACATAGTTCATGCAATTCTGTGTTTAGGAGATTTATCTTACATCTCCTCAGAGATAAGTCAAGTAATAATATGATTTTTTTCTCAGTTCAGTAGCTTCTGTATTTCACCTCTATTCTTAGGCAACCCTCAACTAGAGATTAGAGAATGTGTTTTGAATTCTTAGTTCTTGTAAGGTCTGTAGCTGTCACCTCACTTTCAGCAGGCAAAATGCAGATTGTTATGAATCTTTCTTCAGTCCTGAAGTCACATTAGTCTTCATATAATCCGGTGTCTCAAATGATTTGCTTAGAATACAAAGTGTATTATTGTTGTTCTGTACAATTGAGTCAGGCACTGACCCATAGCTGACCTTCCGGTGGGTTTTGAGAGGCAGCTAATCTCCTGGGAAGATACTGAAGATCCTTCTGCACAAAGTCAATAGGAATGGAGAAAGAATATAGCCCTGATACACACTTTTCTGGATTTTAAACTTTGCTCTGTTCGAATACCAAAAGCAATTGTTGAAGAAATTCAAGGTACGTAGTCTTCAACATGGATTGAAGCTCAACCTCAAGAAGACAAAGATTCTCACCACTGGGCCAACTGGCAGCACAATGATACATTGGAGAAGACATTGAGGTGGTTAACAGTTATAGCTTGCTCGGCTCCACAATCAACACTCTTAGCACCATCAGTCAGGAAATCAAAAAATTAATTACATTCAGAAAATCGTCTCTCAGAGACATCTCCAGAGTACTGAAAAACAGCAGTGTCAGTTTAGAGACTAAGGTGCACCTAACCCAGGCCATGGTCTTTGCAATTACTTGCTATATCACAGAAAGATGGACAATGACTAAGGATGAAAGAAGAATTGATGCCCTCACATTGTGGTGCTGGAGAAGAGTCTTGAACATACCATGGACTTCCAAGAAAACAAATAGGTCTGTCTTGGAGAGGGTGAAACCAAGTTTCTTGGAAGCTAGGATTTTGAAGCTCTGTCTCATGTATTTTGGGTTCATGGCCAGGAAAGACTGGTCCTTGGAAAAGGACATCATGCTTGGAAAGGTGTAGGGACAGCACAGGAGAGGAAGACCCCAAATGAGATGGATTGATACAGTGACTGGAATTATGGGCGTTGGCATGTTAGAATTAGTGAGATTGATCAGGATAAGGCAAGCTTCAGAGCTGTTGTACATAGGTTCACTGTGGGTTACAGGTGACTCCATGGCATATAACAACAATTGTTTGAATAACAGCTTTTTTTTTGTCTAAGTACAGGGTTTTTGTTTTTGTTGTTTTTTTTTTAATGGGTTTTGGGTTTTGTTTTTTGGTGAGAAAAACTTGTATTTAGAATTAGCCAATTCCCAATTTTGTTGGCAACATCCAAAGCATCATGGTCAGGAGCAAGTCAAACACAGGCCTTCTTTGCTCCATCAGTCTTAATCAAGGTGTTGGCCTCAGCCACATCAGTGTTACAGAGCTTCTTTACAGCTTAATTTGGTGGTGCTTGTTGGCCTTGACATCCACAATGAACACAAGTGTGTTGTTATCTTCTATCTTCCTTATGGCTGACTTAGTGGTCAGGGGAAACTTGATGATGGCATAGTGGTCAAGCTTGTCTCTCATGGGGGCTCTCTTCCTGGGGTATTTGTGCTACCTTCAGAGTCTCAGCATCTTAGGCTGCTGGAAGGTGAGTGGTGTTTGGATCTCTTTTTCTTTTTTTTTTTTTGGGGGGGCTGTATATGCCCTTCAAGACTGCCTTCTTGGCCTTTAATGCCTTTGCTTTGGTTTCAGTTTTGGGAGGGTCAGGGGCTTCCTTCTTCACTTTCAGTGCCATCTTCGTAGAAAGGTAAGTAGTAAGTATAGGTTTTTCTGCCTGAGCAGACACATCAAAGTGTTCTGGAATTTCCATTATTCTCATTGCTAGTTGTAATTTGTTATGATTCACATAAATGCCTTTCAATAGTCAATAAAATACAAATGTACTTTTTTCCTGACAGCAAAGAGCTGTCTGACATTAGCAATGATATTCCTGGTGCCATGACATCTTCTAATCCATATAGAACTTCTGGAAGTTCTCTGTTGATGTAGATATGCAAGAAATTGAACAAAAATGAAAGAATAAAATGAAAGGACTATTATCATAATGTTATGAGATCCCTCATTCCTTTGACAAAGTGTGACCCAGTGTGGAAACAAGTGTTTGTCATGCTCTGTACTCAAAGAGCAAGTGATTTTATGAACACCTGGATGTTTATCACGGATAGGAGACATCACATAAGAGAGGGCATCCATGGTGGTATTTAACAGTCTTTTCAACAACTCTAAGAATACTGACTATTGAGAAAGGAAGCTGAGATGGGAGAAACAGCTGCTAAATATTTTAAAGAAATGGTTTGCAGGCATGTGAATTTCTTTTTTTAAAAAAAATTTTTGTGTGAATTTCTTTTTTGATAAAGTTTATAAGTACTTTGGGGATAATTGTGACAAAGCATCTAATCAAATAATTACGTCTAACACGTGACGATTAAAATTGTATGAGGGGTGTGTAAACACATATATGAATATGTGTGTGACGCATATTTTCCTTGTTTATAAAAATACATTTTTCTTCCAGTTTAACTTGCAGAATCCTTCATATTTGAAAAGTAGCAATGCACTTATAATTCTAATATTAACAACACATAGTTGAGTGATTATTCAAAGGATTCTTTGATGAGTGTTCTGTATGGATGACCTTATTAGTTATTTCATACGGAGGACAGAATTGTTATGTGTAACAACACTAGGCTTTAGAAAACTCATGAATAGCAATTGACTAGTTTTGTCATTTTTGGTTTTGTTATTTGATTTGTAACAAGCTTGGAAGCAGAAGTGTCATCCACTTCTGAAACAGCTTACTTCTGGAAACTCTATGAACAAGGAGAAACGAAGAAAGTTCATAGGGTTGCTATGAGTTGCTTACAACTTGACGGCATTTAACAACAACATAGAGAAAGCTCAGTTGGCCTAATGGATAGGAAGTGATGCTTCCAAGCCAAAGATGGATGATTTTATTCTGCATCCCTCAGGCTTGTTTTTAATTGTTTTTGGTCAAACATTCTTCTAGATGGTATAGCACTGCTCTGTCAATTTGCTGTACAGAGGAAACTCATGGTAGCTGTGATGCTGAACACTGTGACCCTGGTTTGCCAAATACAGTATTGGTCCCCCATGGCACACAGTGTTTGGCAGAGCTCCCTGATTAAAATAAGCTTGGAAGTAGGAATGGCGTCCACTTCTAAAATAGCTTGCCTCTGGAAACCCTATGAATTTGGAGAAATAAAGACATTTCATAGGGTTGCTATAAGGTGCCCACGACTCGATGGCATTTAACAACAACACAATAAGAGTAAGATTTAGGATATAAAGTAAATCAGATTGCCACGAGAAATTACCCTCCAAATTTCAAAACTAAAGTCTCTCAGTTCCTACATTTTGATATTTTCTGCTCTTTAAGACAGGTTAGGAAAAAAAAAAGACAGGTTAGGGAGCTAAACTGTGCACTAAAGTGGACCTTTGGTAGCATTGTCTATAATGAGATTCACTGCTAACTCAAAAGCCACACCTCTCTGGCAATTTGAATCCACTATTAGCTCTTTAGAAGAAAGATGGGAATTCTCTTCCTGTGTGATTTACAGCCTTGAAATTTCAATGGAGGATGAGCTATGACTTGATTCTGAATCAATGACAATGAGAGAAAGAGTTATCCCATGAACTGTAGGATGTTTAGCAGCACCCCTGGCTTCTACTCTCCTTCTGCTAAATGTCTATGCCTCCTCAACTCTGAAGACGTAGAAATGAAAAGTCACCAGACATGACCCCTATAGGACCAAGTTGTTCCCAGCTTAGAATCAATCACTCCTCAATATTACATTGTGTTGCTTGTCATTCTTTGAACAGGAAAGAACAAGCTATTCAGAGAGGACATTTAAGTGACTATAGGGAGATTTCGATTCTGAACATGACTTGGGAATAACTGAAAATAAATAATTAACTAAATATCTGCAGTCTTTGATTCCATAGCACTTGGCAGTTTGGTGTTCAGAAAAATATTATCTGATATTCCAAAATGGTATCCCATCTATTTGACAGGCGTTTAAATTGGCTTATCCCAAAGTTAATTTAATTGAATAGTTTGATTCCAGTTAATTGAGAGGGTAACCTAAATAAACAGAACCAGAGTTTAAACTTGAAATATGTAGCATAGAGGGAAAAAATGAAAGGAAAGAAATACTAGCATAACCTACTGAGAAATTATAAAATATTTTGTTTTTCAAGTTCAAACTGAAGTTGAGGAAAATTAAATCAAGTCCATGGGAACCAAAATTTGACCTTCAGTCTGTCCCACTCAAATTCCAAAATAATCTCAGGAACAGGTTTGAGGCCGTGAGCACCAATGAGCATAGACCAAATGAGCTCCAGGAGGATATAAAGAAAATCGTCCATGAAGAATGCAAAAGATCATTACAAAGGATGAAAAAGAAGAAAAGACCAAGATGGATGTCAGATGAGACTCTGAATATTGCATTAGAGCGCCAAGAAGCCAAAGCTAAAGGAAGAAACCAAAAATCAAAGAGCTAAACAGAAAATTTCAAAAGGCAGCCCGGGACGATAAAACAAGAAACTATAATGAAATGTGCAGAGAGCTGGAGTCAGAAAATCAAAAGGGCCGAACTCGCTCAGTGCTTCTTAAGCTGAAGGAGCTGAAAAACAAATTCAAACCACGGGTGGCAATACTTAAGGATACTTTGGGCAGTATATTAAATGATCCAGAAAGTACCAAGACAAGATGGAAGGAATACACAGAGTCACTGTATCAGAAGGAATTGGCTGACACAGAAGAATTTCATGAAATGACATATGAGCAAGAGCCTATGGTGATGAAAGAGGAAGTTCAAATTGCTCTGAAGGAATTGGCAAGAAACAAGGCTCCAGGAGTTGATGGCATACCAGTTTACATATTTCAACAAACAGACGCTGGCCTGGATGTGCTCACTAAGTTGTGCCAAGAAATTTGGAGACCAGCCAGCTGGCCCATTGACTGGGAAAGATCGATATTTGTTCCCATTCCAAAGAAAGGTGACCCAACAGAGTGTGGAAATTATCGAACAATATCATTGATATCACATGCAAGCAAGATTCTGCTGAAAAGTATCCAAAAACGTTTGGAACAATATGTCAACAGAGAACTGCCAGATGTGCAGGCTGGATTTAGAAGAGGTCATGGTACTAGGGATATTATAGCTAATGTCAGATGGATCTTGGCAGAAAGCAAAGAATACCAGAAGAATGTCTATCTGTGCTTCATTGACTATGCAAAGGCTTTTGACTGTGTGGATCACAACAAGCTGTGGCTGACTCTGAGAAGAATGGGAATCCCAGAACATTTGATTGTGCTAATGTGAAACCTATACTTGGACCAGGAGGCAGTCGTCAGAACAGAGCAAGGAGACACAACATGGTTCACAATCAAGAAGTGGGTCCGTCAGGGATGTATTCTGTCTCCATACCTTTTCAATCTGTATGCAGAACAGATCATCCGAGATGCTGGGCTATAGGAAGAGGAACGTGGAATCAGGATTGGTGGAAGAACCATCAACAACCTGCGTTATGCAGATGACACAACCCTGCTTGCTGAAACTGAGGAGGACCTAAGGCTCTTGCTGCAGAAGATCAAGGACTACAGCCTCCTATATGGACTGAAGCTAAATGTCAAGAAAACAAAAATTCTAACCACTGGGCCAATTGGCAGCATCAGGATGGATGGTGAGGAGACTGAGATAGTTAACAGTTTTACTTGGCTCCACAGTCAACGCTCTTGGTTACAGCAGCCAGGAAATCAGGAGACAAATTGCATTGGGAAAGTCGGCTGTGAGGGACCTCTCAAGATTACTGAAGAGCAACGATGACAGGCTGGAGACTAAGGTGTGCCCAATATGGGCTATAGTCTTCGCAGTTATGTGCTATGCATCAGAGAGTTGGATAGTGAATAGGGCTGATAGAAAGAGGATTGATGTTTTTGAGCTGTGGTGCTGGAGAAGAGTGCTGAATATACCATGGACTGCTAGGAGAACAAACAGGTTTGTCCTGGAGAGGGTGAAGCCAGAGTGTTTCCTGGAGTCAAAGATTCTGAAGCTTCGTCTGACATATTTTGGGCATGTTGCAAGGAGGGACTGGTCCTTGGAAAGGGACATCATGTTTGGCAGAGTGGAGGGGACGTGAAGGAGGGGAAGACCTTTGGTGAGATGGATCAATTCTGTGACTGGAGCGGTGGGAATAAGTGTGTTTGAGATGGGTAGGTTGGCACAGGATAGAACAGCATTTAGTTCTCTTGTACACAGGGTCACTATGAGTCGCAAGCGACTCGATGGCACGTAACAACAACAACAATAACAACAGTATGATCTTATTTGGAGAAGATTATTGGTTTTGGGTTTTTTTCCAACTTTAGTGAGAGGGAAGCCAGGCCTTTGTTTTCTCAAAGTCTCTACTGTCTTGAATTTCTCCCAAATACTGAAGAGCATTGATGTCAGTTTGAAGACTAAGGTGTGTCTGATTTAGGCCATTGTCTTTTCAGTCACTTGCTATGCTTATGAGAGACACACAATCAATAAGGATGACAGAAGAGTTGATATATTTGCATTGTAATTCTGGAAAAGATTATTGAATGTCCCTTGTACTGACCAAAAACAAAAAAAAAGTCTTTGGAAAAGTGAAGCCAAAATGCTTCTTGGAGGCAAAGATAGTGAAGCTTCATCTCTTATACTCAGGACATGCTACTAGGAAAGGCTATTTCTTTTCTTTCTTTTTTTTTTAAAGGATAATTCTTAAAAGGGGGTATAATGCTTGGAAATATGGAAGAGCAGACGAAGAGAGGAAGACACCACCCTCCTCCCAAAAAAAGATTGGTACAATGATTGCAGTAATGGAATAAATTGCAACAGAGATGATTAAGATGGCACAAGACAGGATAAATTTCAGATCTGTTCTTCACAGGATCGCTATGAGTCACAGTCATCTAGATGGAAATCAGTAACAACAAGAACACACTTTTTACCACCAGGGGTTAAATCCTTTAGAATTTGGAGAGTACTGGATAGTCTTGAAGACACTCATAGATAAACTTTTTAGTTTTCTAAAGTTTATACTTAGGAAGCTATAAGCAGAGAAAAAATGTATTTTTTTTTTTCAGCAACAGTAAGTACAAGGCTTTGGTAATGGGGTGAGTTGCTAACAATTGCAAGGAGAAAAGATGTTTTTCTTCTTGACACGGCCATTGGATAGAATAATGTTTGCAGGTGTTTATGAGGTGGAGATTTAGGCCTGCTGGTTTTTCAGCTAATGAAGATAGAACCTGCTAGAGAAACGCTAGTCAAACCTACATGACTTTATGAGCTTTCCCGTGCTCCCATCCCCTAAAACCACTCTAGAGATATTAAAGAATACATTTCAATCAAATTATGGACCACGAAAGGCATTATG